TGTGTACTGCTGGATGCAGTTTGTAGTGCCACTACATGGTCTTCTTCAACAACTATGTCCTGGATGTTAGGGCACAGCGGGACACCTCCTTCAGTCAGGCTGTCTTCAGATCCCTTTTTTAGTAATCTCCCATCCTCCTTTGATCCTCTGGTTTGCCTGTGTAAAAAAACCCCAAACACGTTACCTGATTAATGTTAATAAATGGGATCTCAGAGGTCCAGATGTTCTCGATTCCTTATGATCCTCTTTTCAGTCTTTGCTTCAGTACTTTACACCATACTTTTGTGCAGTAAGTTAGTTATTGCCAGTACCCGGTTCCCGGTTCCGGGCGTTGGCTGCAGACAGCTGTATTCACAACTCCGATAAATGCTAAGTAGTTTTAAGATATTTTAAGCTGCCTTTTTTAAAAAAGCTCTTTTGTGTTTTACTTGACGATTTCAAGGACTTGGCATTTTTATTATTTCTATTTACTAATGAGGAGTTGATTGTTTGCACTTTAATCAAGGCTATTACCCGGCCAGGCGCAGCTAACTTACAGTTGGCCTTGAGGACCGGGAGTCTATCTATGTTGTTAACTAACTTTCTATGTGGAGTCCTCTTATAGAGAATTTGGGAACCTCTCCAAGTTGCAAAAGGCTTGCATCTTCCTATGCAGCTTATCCCCTTTGGAAAAGAAGTTTCGGAGCCAAGACTATTTTTTAAATTATTTTTTTACCACAATGTAACAATTTGGTGTTGTCCATCTGAACTTTGAAGTTTCAAGTCTCCTGAAGGCAAAACTCTAGTTTGACTCAGGATTATCAGTGTATTGCCAGCACCCACCATCCATTTTGGCTTAGCTCGTCAGTCACCCATGCGTGGGACTGCACAGAACACAAAGAAGATAAACGGGTTGCTTATCTGTAACTGATGATCTCTGAGTAGCTACCTGTGCAGACACATACACCCACCCATGCTTCCTCATTGCTGGCATCTCTCTCTCACTTACCTGAAGTTGATGGGACTTACTAACAGTGTGCGGAAGGAACTGGGTGGAAGGTGACTTTCTCCTCAGCTCCAGGCATGCACAGTCAATGCCTTCTCCCCAGAGTGGAGAAGAAAGCCCTCCAAAAAGTGATAGAAGAAGCTCTAGAATCTTCGTTGGTTGGGTCCTGTGCAGGCACTGTACCCACGTGTGTGACTGCACAGATGACCACTCGAAGATCATCAGTTACAGGTAAACAACCTGGGTTTTTCGCTTAGTTGAATAGTTAGTTCCTTACAGTGATTTTGCCACCAATTTCCCCTTTGGTGGATGCACAGTAGTCAGGACTAAGATAATCCATTTGTCACCGGTAATGTTCTTTTCACTGAAGTGGTCATAACGCCAAAAAAAAGTATATCACAGTGGAAAATTGTGGTGGAGGCCTGTCTATCACAACCTGATTTAGATGTGATGCCAAACCTCATGGTTTGGTACTACATGCACAAATGTTTGGGTTTGGGGGGGGTCATGAACACTCTAATCCCCCTTTTCATGACAGTTAGTACTCTCTGGTTTGTTGCAAACCTTAGTTTACTGATATCATTACAATCTCAGCCACAAACCATAGTTCGTTTTTGTCCTGCAAACTATGATTGCAAGCTAGGATTACGCAACAGTTTATCATCTTTACTTGCAAAGCAATTGCAAACATAACGTTGTGGTTTTGATGTAAGGGCAAGCTATTGCCGCAACTCAGTAAGTAACTAATAACAGTATTAGGGGAGAAGGGAGTATACGAGCTCAAGCTTTTTCAAATAGCACAAAACCAGTCTGAAGCAAGCCAGTGATCTTAGGTAAGCATACGATAAATACTATATCATATGTTGTCTAGAGTTGTCATAAACTTTGAATGTTTGCTTTTTCAGTGGCATGAGTTTTCTAGGACAAAGTGTGGGGTTTTTTTACACCTAAATAAATCTTTTGCCTTGCTATTTTTCTCCACAGTTCAGCTATTTCTCTCCACAATTCTAGAAATATGTCACTGTTCATTTGTTCTTCTCTCTTTTGTTTTTCTTTTCACAATTGGCTGTTTATATAGTATTAAAATTGGGAAATGGAGTCAGAAGTGGAAAGAGTATCTTTAAAAAAATCTCTCTGTTACCCTGTATTTTCCTGTACTACTGCCATTGTAGGAATTGTTTGATTTATTTCTCATTGCCATGGTTTAGTGTCTGCATCAATCACTCAATTAAGGTTCTTGAATTCAACTTGCAACCTCATCATGTTGTCACCCTGATTTAAATATTTGTCTTAACGACATCAAGTGCAATAACACATGACCTCCTCTCCCTGTCTTTTTCTTATTTATCTCAATCATTTTGTGTTGTGTTCTTTCTTTGGTGTGTTTTTTCCCTTCTGTCATATAAATAGCTTATCATCTCAAAAGACAGAGGTTGTAATCTTGTCCTGCTGTGCAGTTTCTTTAGCAACATAGCTGGAAATAGTCTCAAACCCATGATTGTTGAGGCTACTATGCAGCCATTCCATCTTATACTGCCAGTCTCTGTCATCTGAATATGAACTTCTGACTCCTGAATATGAACAATTTCAACCCCCATCCACACCTCAGAAGTATAGTTACTGTTCTCAGGATGACTGTTGTCAGGTGTTTAGGCTACATTATAAGGGCAGCTATGTTCTTCAGGCTGGAAGTCTGGTGAAAGATAGGGAAGAGTAGGTATCTTCTCCCAGCTGCCAAGACAGAGATTGGCAGGGGTGCAAGTCTCCTTATTAGCTCTGTAAGATCATTTGACTTTAGAGGAGGATCATGGGCTGCTATCTCATCATTGCAGATGAAATGGCTTGTAGTTGGCTCCTCCATCCAGCTGCTCTGGTGGCTCAGGATGAATGGAATCTGTAGTTAGCTGTGATCCACAGGGCTCCTGGCTTGAGTCCCATGGCTCCAGATAACTGTGAGAACTTCTAAACTTCTGCCATGTTTATTCTATTCCAGAACTAGGGAATTGCAGTCCTATGCAGTACTGATAGAGTCTGGTAGCTACTAATAATAGTTGAAACATTTGATAGATATAGCCTTAAATACTGCTTGTCTGTTCAAATATATGTAAAATCTCTTTATATTTAGTCAGACAACTGATAAACCTAGTGTTGTCTGCTGTGACTGGCAGTGGCATTACCTCAAGCATTGTGTGAGAGGAAAATGTATTATTAAATTTGAAATCCTTTGGCATAATAATTCACAGTTTCATGTAGTGTTTTAGTGCCATCTTTTGAGTAGGTCTGCCTAGCAAGGTCAGAGAACATATTCTAAATGTCCAGATATTCAATGAACATGGTTACTCAGACATAACTCTTAATGTCAACTGCCCTAGATCTTGTCCCTGGGTCTATCTAAAACCAGATTTGTGATCTGAAATTTCCATATCTGCAACATATTCTTAGCAAATAAAGTACTTTGTGAATGACTGAACAACATGCATCCTAGTAATACCAAATGATTGTGCCAGCTTTGTACCATGTCATGTTTTGATATGCCTTATCAACAGCAAAGAGAAAATAGTAGGAGACTGCTCTTTTCCATGGATATGTGGTGTTCAGCCATGAATATGACAGATCCGGAGGAAAGCTGACAACAAATAATTATTTTGGGAAACAATATAGAAATGGTGTAAGTTAGGGGTTTCCCAGTTTTAATTGGCAAGTGTTAACTTTTTGCAATCTATTCATTTTAAACACTAATTCAATTTGTATTCTAATTTTATGCAAACATCTTTTTATCTTTTCCTGATCATTGCCAGGCTAAGATTATTTCTTAACATGCAATAAATACAATCTAGTATTCAAATATCATGCGGGTGCAAACCACGTTAAATTCAATGTGCCTTGAGCCAACAAAATGCTTTGGATAATAGATTTTTTAAAGCAATATTTACAGGTCTCCCAAAACTATAGTAGTGCCTTCCTTTCTGTGCTCA